CAGAGATGTAATGGACATAACATAGCAGGCTGCCTGGGCATCCACAACTTGCACACAGAACAGACATTCCTGCTATCCATGGAAAAATCCTTCTCCATATATTCCACATCAGAGTGGCTGCTCTCTGAGTTAGTCTTACTAGGTGGAAAGAAATTAAAAATTGCAATTGACTCACCAGTAAAAATATGTGAGTGTACCCAGCAAATGATGTAGATTCCCTCAGCACTTACCTAATAATTTTGCTTTTAATTAAACTGTCCATTCCCTCACTGATTTACATTTTAAAAGAAAACAACTATGTGTATTTCACTGGGAAACCTTCCCCTGGTGTTCAAAAAAAAAAATTTGCTTTGCTTAATGTGAAAGATTTGGGGCCTGATCCTTGTTAACAACTTGCTGCATTTCAGCTCCACCAAAATGAAGGTGAATAGGTATGAAAGATTGTCACTGAAGGGGACATGCTCACCATGAGTGCTCCAGCCTTTCTCTTCTGCTTTTTTGGGGGTTTTATTGTTTTGGGGTTTTTTTGTTTGTTTGTTTGTTTTGTTATGTTTTTGTTGATGGTGGTTTTTTTTAATGTACCATACAGTCTTTTATTAGTAAAGTTTTAGGCCCCATCTCTCCAAATAAGTAAGTGCAGTGGATGGGCACTGAAGCAAGCGAGCTGGGAGCCACAGACCCCCCAGCTTTGGGGGACAGAGGAATAAACTGCACCTCAGCAGGCACCTCTGGCAATGCCCCACAGGCAGGGTCTGGCAGAGACACCAAAGAAGAGGAGGTGATACCACCATAGCATTTCTGGCTCTGAGAGACCAAAGGGCATCTTGTTTCCACTCACACAACTCCCCTAAGATGGGAATGATGACCAAAATTTTAATGTTTTAAAACTCATCTCCCCTTCTTCTTAAACTCGTATTTCAAAATCTGTAATAATTTCTGAGGGAAAAATAAAAAGAAGCCCAAACTCTCTCCAATTCCAGCAAGAAACAGTAACTCCTGCTGCTCCCACTGCAATTAAGGCTCAGGTTGTTACCAGCAGGCCCCTGAGACACAGCAGTGAAACACCAGTTGCCTTTCTGGAGGAGTTACATGCCAAGACCACCAAGATTTGGAGCAGAAATGGAGATCCTTTGAGTGCTGTAAAAAGGGCATCTCTGGCTTAGTGCCTGCCACCACCACCTGGCAGCCAGGTCAGACACAGCTGGGCATGCTGCTGCCTTGGTGGCACATGGTGCTCCATGACACAGCTGAGCATGCCATGCACCTGCACCCAGAGCAGGGCTGGGTTTCTGGAGACCCAAATATGCAAGTGGAGAAATGACAAAACCTCCAGACGAGGCATTAAAAGGTGATTCTCCTGTGCTGGCTTGCCATCCTCCCACAAAGTAAAGGGGACAAAGGGAAGAGGTCGTCTGTTGAGGTGGGAAAGTCTTTCAGGACTCAAAATTTCAGTGACACCCCTGCAGTCCCAGGCAGGAAGAGAGTGGACCATGATGTCTCCAGCAGAATGGCCTTGCCCCAGGGCTGCTGCAGCTGTGCTGCTGCTGCTGACTGCTCCTGACAGGTATGTGCACACCACAGGCATGTTCACACCACTGGCATGTTCACACCACAGCTCTGGCCTTGGCTCAGAGACCCAGATGGCAAAGGCTGTAACATCCTTGCATGGATGCTCAGTTTTGGGGAGAACGGAAAGAAGATTGTGGGCTTAGAGCTGGGCCATGTCCAGAGTGCATCCCCATCTGTTCACAGCAGTGGGGAGGTAGAACAAGGGGTTAAGGGGTTGTACCCCCTTAGCTCCAATCACACAGCCCAAGTCCTCTACAAAAGAGTCAGTCAGGAGGAGGCCCCTGTGTGAGCTGGGGAGGAAAGCTGTGCCTGGCTGGGCAAATCCCTGCTCCCTCTATTCCCAGAAAACACCAGCATTGTCTGTGCACCATGTTTTCACAGCCAGTCCGGGGCTGAGGTCAGGACCTGTTTGAGCTGGGTTTTATTTACCAAATGTGGCCTCATTTGGTAACAACATTTAAAAACATGTAAGATCAGTCCTTGTTGGTGAAAACATGCCCATTAATTTTCCTATCTTTGGACAAATTGTAAGTAGATGAGAGTCTGTAATGTCCCAGGTGATACTGAACCTGAGAGACATTCAGGAATTGCTGTCCTGGACCAGCCAAGCAGTCCATCAAGTTCAGCACCTTTTCCTTAAGACAAGCAGATTAACCTGTGCTTTGAAGCCAACAGCTTTAGCATTTGCCTAAGTATGTCACACACAGGTTTGGATGCTCCTGTGTCCCCATTCGTGCTCCACCCACCAGCCACAGGGCCAGGGGCACCACTTCAGTGCCCAGGCCACACATGGTGAGTCCTGCAGACATCTCTGACGACCTCTTCCTCCTCTCCTTCTGGCAAGGAGTGGGTTTGGTTTATATTTGAAGTTTCTGTGTCATGCCAGCTTTGATGGATGTGGAGTTAGCACAAACCCCACAGGCTATGGGATGGCCTAGGGTGAAAGAAAGGAAGAAGGAACTCTCAGTGCAGTCTCACACAGCAAAGACTGGGACATCTTCCCCTGTTCTGCAGCTGAGGAGAGTGAGGCTGATGTGGTGACCTGGAGCCACGCTGCAGCAGAATGCAATGCCAAGAAGTAAAACTGGTTCCTGTAGCAGCCCACTCCTCTAGTTTTCTCCTCTGCTCTTCTCCAAGACTTCTCCAACACTTTTCCACATCTCCTCTTGTGTCTCCCCCTGCAGGGAGGCAGGCTGGGATCAGAAGCATCAGCAGCCTTGGAAAGCAGATAAGGTTCTCCATCATAAAGAAGGCAGCAGTGCAGAATTACAATGACCAGAAACATGTTTTAGTAAAATATGAGACTTTCATGCCTAGAGCTGAACCCTGAGGGTTGCCATAGCTAAATAAAAGAGGGACAGGAAACAAGTTCAAATGCTGTTCCTGCTGTCATCTGCACGCTTGCCCTCCATCTCTGGCCTGGACTTCCCCAGTGGTCCAGCTGAAGGCAGGTCTATTTCTTTCCAAGATTTAGTGATGGTTAATCTCGGGATCACTCTCAAAACGAAGCAGGGATGAGCCGGGAGCAGGTTTTGCTCCCTCTGCTGTACGTACTCCTCCAGTGCCATCCCAACCCGCTTTGGAGCCCTCAATCACCTCCACCAGCCCTGCGTGGCACTCCCTGACACATTTAAAATGTATCCTCAGCTTCATGTTGCAAACAGGATGCTAATGGGGCGTGAGACAGCTCAGCTCTCCCGTAGTTTCAGGCATTTTTCAGGGGAGGGAGAAAAATAATGCAAAACGCTGAAGATACCTTCCAAAGAAAGATGGCCCAGAGGAGCCTGGGGATCACATCCTCCTCAGCAAAGCCATGGGCATCCTGCTCCATCGGCCGGGCAGCATGGATGTGCCCTGACTGCTTCTGTCTGCCAGCCTAGGCAACCGCAGCACCCCGAGACAGGGGCCAGGCTGGCTGGAGCGCCTGGCTCGCACTGAAATCCCCCAGGAAAAGTTACCTCTCGCCTCGTCCTCGAGGCATCAGTGGGAGTAGCCGGGTGTTGAGCCCTGCTGCGACCAAGTGCTGCGGTGGGAGAGCTCTGGGAGGCACCAGCAGCAGCGAGAGGCAGCGTTTGGGGGGATCAGCAGGAACAGCAGGCACAAAGGGAGTTATATCTTCACCGGTCCAGTCCCAGACTGCTCATCTGCAAGGAGCTCCAGGCAGGCAGATCCAGACGGCTGCTAATGCAGGATCACAGCCCGAGGTTTTGTTTCCACCTTTGCCAGAGGCTTTGCATGAGTCTCAGCTTCCTTTGCCTGCGCAATGGGTACCTGGTGGCTGACCTTCCTTTGTAAAGCTCCTGTCAGGCAAAGGGGGTTCCTGTGCCTGCACCTACAGCTTTCCTCTGTGCACCGACAAAAAATGATGCTCGTCGGGTTGGTGCTCCTACAGCAAGAGCTCAACCGGAGAGAAGGATGATTTAAAATTAAAAAAACCGGGGGGGTTGGGGGGGGGATGGGGAGGGAAGAGAGGGAGGGGAAGAATAGGCTGTCAATCTCAGTTAGTAAACACTTCTTTGATGTGGTTCCTATCAAAAACAAAACAAAACAAAACAAAAACACAACCTGACTCCTAAAAGCAACAACGTATGTTTATTTTAAATGCATCCGCTAAATATTTACACTGCAAGTAAGCTGAACGAAAAAAAAAAAAACAAGATAAATTGGAACTTTTGTCAGTGAACCAGATTGTGAAATGCCTTGAGGGAACAGAAGATTTATTTGGGGAGAGGGGGAGAGGTAGGAATTTTCCACGCTATTGTAAAGCATGAGCACAAATTATATGATCCCCACAGCCAGCGAGTTGCAAAGCTTCAATCAGCTGCCTTTTTATTTTTTTCCTTTCCTCTCTTTTCTATAAAGAGGAGGGGGGGAAGACAGAAGTGTTTCACCAACTTCTGTTGACTGTTCCTTTTTTCTCCTGATTGAAATGTGTTGTTAAACAAGATCCCACATAATCTCAGCAGAGGGTTTCTCTCGCTCGCTCCCGCTCCTTCTGGGAAGCCGCGATCGGTGCCATCGGCGCTTGATTATTTGCAAACTCCCTTAGCTGCTTTTTTTTTTTTTTCCTCCTTTTTTTTTTTCCTCCTCTCCGTCTCGGTCTCCGTCTCCCTCTCTCTCCCTCCGTCTCTCTCTCCCTTCCTCTCACCCCCAGCGCAACTTTTGCAGGCGCCCCGGTACACGCAGCCATGCCGCGCTGAGAGCGGGGGCACGGCGCCAGCCCCCCTCCTTCCCTCCCTCCCTCTCCTTCCTCCCTCCCTCTCTCCTTCCCTCCCTCCCTCCCTCCCTCTCTCCCTCCCTCCCTCCCTCCCCAGCGCCGCCGTCCCGAGCCGGGGGGGCCCCGCCGCCCGCCGCCCCTGCCCGGCCCCGCGCCTCGCCCCGGCCCCGGCCCGGCCCGGCCCGGCCCGGCGCCGCCGCCCCCCGCCCGCTCGCCCGCCCGCCCCGGCCGCGTCGGAGGGCCGGCAGCGGGGCTGGATGTGCCCGGCTCCCCCCGCGCTGAGGTGGGCAGCGATGCAGAAGGCAGGCGGCAGCTTCGCCTCCGCCGAGAGACACCCGCTCAAGATGGCAGATGTGTGTTGAGTTTGGGGGGCTGCGATCTCGCGTCGTTCGTGGCGGCGTTGCCATGAATAACAGGCGTCCTTGCACCGATGGCCCCCATGTACGAAGGTAAGCCCCGGCCCGGCCCGCCCCGCCGGCACCCCTGGCCCGGCCGCAGCGGGGGACGGAGGGAGGGAGGGGGAGCAGGGGGTCCCCGCCGCCCGCCGGGGCCCCGGCCGGTGTTGCGGGAGGCGGGGGGCACCATCGCCCTCCCCGGCGCCCGGCGGGAGCGGGGCGAGGCGCGGGTCGCCCCCCGGCTCTGCCGGTGCCCGGCCCCGCGGTCCCGGGCGCTCGGTCCCCGGCGGGGGGCGGTGGGTGAAGTCCGTGCCGGTGCCGAGCAGAACAATGAGGTGGACGGAGCTCGCCTTGCGCCTCCGTGTGTGTGTGTGTCTCTGTGTGTGTGTGTGCCTGCTGCCTGCCTGCCCCTCGCCGCAGTTCGCATTCCCAGGACCGGCTACCCCTCTCCGCTCGCCGGTTTCCCGGGAGTTCCCCCCGCCGTGGCTCCTCTCCTCCGAGGCGCGGGGACTCCGCGGGCAGCGGCGGCGGGGAACGGGTACGGGGCTGCTGGAGCCTGCTGTCAGCTCCCCTGGCTTCTGCTTCAGTCCAGCCCGGGCTGCGGCGAGAAGCCCAAGTACCTCAACTTAGTTTCTTTCAGGGTAGAAAAATCACAATAATTATATATACACATTTATATCTCTGTGTGTGTGTGTGTGTGTGTATTTATATACGTCTGTGTGCGTTAGATCGATGTGTAGTACACGGTGTCTGTTAAAAAAAAAAAATTCAGAGATGTATCGAGGTTAATTTAAATCCCCTCGCGACGCATTTACCCTTCCCCGTCACCCCTCCCGGCTCGGCGCTGCCCGGGCAGCGTTACATAAAGCGGAGGGACATCCCCCGGCGGCCGCGCCATCCCGCCCGGGGCCGCTCGCTCCGTGGCGGCGGAGACCCGGGCGCGGAGGGGCGCGGGGGGGGACGCCACGGGGACACGGCACTTTGCTCCCCATGGCGAGGCCGGTAAAACTTATCTGAGGAGGAAATCGAGCCCGGGCTGCGGCGCCCGCGCGGAGGGCGCTCGGCGGGCGGTGTAAAGTTACCGGTGGCCCGCCGGGTTATTTCTGGGCAGCCCCGGGCTCACCCGCTGTTCCGAGTCCGGACCCCGCCGGAGGCGGGCAGACAAAGGGGAGCATTTTCGTTCGCGCACACGGCACGGCCGGCCCTCCCCGCGCTGCCTGCGGCCGGGCTCGGTGCCGCCGGAGCGCGGGGCCGGCGGGGAGCGGGGCCCGCGGCGGTGCCGGGGCCGGTGCCGGCGGAGGGGCCGCGGTGGGCCCGGGGTGCCGGTCGAGGCCAGCCCGCAGCGGCGCCCTCTGGCGGCCGCGTCTCGCCGCCGAGCGGCCCCGGCCCCGGCCCCGGCCCCGGCCGGGCAGCCCCCCTCCGCTCCCCGCCCCGCGCCCGGGCCGCCCCCGGCGCCTCCCCGGCATTGGGGCCCCGCCGCGGGAGGGGGGAGCCGCCACCGCCGCCGGCACCCGGCACGGCGCGGAGCTCGCAGCCCCGGCGCGTACCTGCCCGGCCCCCGCCCGACGGCCCCCGGGGCCGCGCCTGACGCCCCCGCGGTGTGACCGGGCCGGCGAGGCTCGGCCGGCACCACACCGGAGCCCCCCAGCCCCTCCCGGGCGGGCGCCGCCGGCCGGGGGGCTCAGGCGGCGATGGCTCTGAAGTTCTCTCCTCGCCGGGCCGCATCCGGCGGCGGTGCGGGGCCGTGCGGGCGGTGCGGGGCCCCTCGGAGAGCGGCGGCGCCCGGCGGGTCCGCACAGCCGGGGCGGAGCGGCCGCGGGGCCTGCGGTCAGCCCGGCCGCGCTCCCCTTCCCTCCCGGCGCGCCGCAGTGGGCGAGCGCCGGCACGGCCGCCTCCCCGGAGCCGGGCAGGGCAGCGCAGGGGAGGGGAGGAAAGACGAGAGGAGAAGAGGCCTCGGCCACCGCCGGGACGAGCAGGGCGCCGGCTTCTTCCTGAGGAGGGGGCGGCGGTGCTGCACCGGAGCGTGCGGTGGAAGTTTAGCGGTTCCTTAGAGCATCCTAACTTGAGCGGCGCCCCTGCTTCTGCCTGACTGGAAAAGAGAGCAGATGGGGGAAAATGCCCTGAAAGTGACCCGTAGAAACAAATTTCCCGCAGCAGATACGGATGGGTCTGCGGCCAGGCTCTGCAGCATGCCTTAAGCCTCAAAATAGGTGAATATCCTGAATGGCAGGAGCCGGAGATAGCGTAAAGGCTGACAGAAATTGTTTTATCTCTGTTGTGTTGCTGTATGCTTGCGGGTTAAATTGCTGCTGAATGGCTTCGAGGGAGGTGGAGGAGGGGTTAATGATTGTTTTTCGCCTCCTAGTTGCCGTGAGAGGTCCTTAGAATTCCCTGCAATATCGCAGTGCATAGATAAAAACTTACTTATCGCAGAGGATGCAATTTCCTCCTTGGAGGGAGGCAAGGACTGCCATCCTCCCCTGCGAGCCTCACGTTTGTGTGCACAAGCAGTTCGGTCTGTAGCCCGCCTCTGGAGCATCAGGTAGAGTGAGGGCACCGAGGAGAGCACAGGATCCGAGGGCTCGGATCGGCGCTGCCAAGGGCAGGCACCGCTCTCGGGTGGCACACATGCACGCCCACCGCCAGCACCGCAAGGCAGGCGAGGGGAGGTGAAACCGTATCCGCGCCGTACCGATTTCAGAACATAGGCTCTTTGACAGAAAAAGCACCCTGGGAGGAAATGTGACACCTCAAAGGCCTTATGAAGTGGTTCCAGTAGAAATTGAAGTGAGTGGTAACACAGAGCCCAGGCAGAAAGTCACCCAGCGTTCTTGACGTGCAGGTGAGGGTGGTGTGTGCTTGTGCAGAGCAGCTGGCTTAAATACCATTTCTGGGAAGCAGAATGGTGCCTCACCTGATATTAATAGGCGAGGCATGATAAATAAGTGACTATCTGGTGTGAAATCCTCTCCCACACACACTGAGCCAGGAGAATTTTCCCATTTGTTTTAAATAATTTGGACGTTTTGCTCTTACCTTCTCCTCTCCTAGGTTTTTCCTCATTTTTAAAAATTTTTTTTCCTGGTGGTGGAGAGCTTAGCAGCAAAATGAAGGACATAAAAATAAAACGAGTGAAACAAAACAGAAGTAACACTGCTGCACAATGTTTGACCTGGTTTTTAGTTTCGTTTGTGAGCTGTACAAGGAAATGAGTTGAGTTTCAAAGCAGACCTCATCAGGTGTAATCCTACATGGCCTGTGCTCCAGTCTTGCTAGTGGCTGCCATCCTTCTGAGCACCAGAGATGTGGCTTCATCAGGAGTGGCTTGGTACAGAGGAGCTGAACGGCTTGAGCCAGGCAAGAATCTGGTTCTGTGGCCCCTCTTCTAGGCAGTTTTATTCTCACCTGTGCACTCACCTTGTGATGTTTCCTACTGTGCAGAGAGCAGATCCAGGCTCTATGGTCCAGGGAGACCCCAGTTTAAGAGGGGGGTATGCCAGACAGCACAAGCTGTGGGTGGATTTTTGCTTAGGATGGGTGTCTCCAGCGATTTCCTTGGCGTCTGGTACCTGGCATCCTTCACAATTGCGTAAAGAGAGGTATTTATATGTATTAACCTTTATTTTCTAAACAGTGATTACCTCTGTTTTGGTTTCGTTCCTCTTCGCTTAGCTCCTTACTTATTCTTGACAACTTTGTTGCAATTCAGGGTGTATTTTTAGCAGCCACATCGGTAGTTTTCTATGTGGGTGGCTCATGGAATTAATCTGGGTAATATTTGTAAATTGCACCTCGCCACCGGTGCGGCTGCTGGAGCTGAGCACAGGCAGGGACCTGCCTGCACGCTATCCCTGTCACACGTGGGGCCGGGAAAGCCGGAAAGTCTGACCCTGTCCTCCTTGTGCATCAGATCCCATTTAATGCCAGAAACAGGCCAGCCCTGCTGGGCTTCGAATGCATCCCTAAATCTCACCAAAGCGCACAAAACTTGCTCATCAGGGAGGTGGCCCCAGTGAGGCGGAGTAAAGGTCTTTACCCCAAAGTTCATGCAGGGAGATAACTCAGAGACGCTTCCTGTTTATGAAATAATAACCAGAGCTAAAGCTGTGTCAGTGCTGGGACTAAAAGCCCGAGTTTTTATTTGCTCAGGATATGGCTATAGCCAGGATAACAGGAAGCCCCCTCCAGTTAAAATTATTGTTCTTATCATGCTGCTGTGTCTAGTGATTAAACAAGTTTGTGTAATGGGTGAAAAACGTTGTTTTATTTTCAGAAGGGGAAAGAGCATTGCTGGGACTAGGAGCTGGGGTGAGCAGACAAAGAGGCAAGCTCAGTTACTCACCACAGTCATCAGCCCTTGGACTCTGTGCAGTGCATTCCTCTTCGTGGCTGTGACAGGTGGGGAAGACTCACTTTGCTTCATTTGGACACCTCAGCTGGCCTGGGAAGTGAAATAATTTTCATTTTTCCATCACTGATTTTCACCATTGTTACTTACTGGCCAGCTTTACGTGGTGCTGTGAGACCACTGGATTTGGTTCCATCCCAATGGGATAAGAGTTGCCTGTGCCTGATGTTCAGTGTAGGTTCTTCTACTGGTGAAGAGCAGCCTAGAAACCTCCTTGATGCCTGTGAGGCTTCTGAACTTAAGCTCAGCCCTGGGAAGTTAGACTGTGTATTTGGAGATAGGTGATGGACTTGGGTGGCTAAATGAATAAGGCCTGATTTTGGCCACATCACAGCAGTGGTGCATAAAAACATGTGAATATTTGGTCAGGAGGACAGTGGGAAGTCAAATCATGACAGGATTGGTGACCTGGGCCTGGAAGTAAATCCCTGTCCTGATTGTGGACCTCACCAGGTGGGTCCCAGGTGATGGTGTCAGAGCTGTCCTGCCAGATGGTGAGGTCAGGGAAGGACAGTCACCTTCTGCTCACGCCAGACTAAGACACCAGTATGAGGCAGATGAGACAGCTTCTTCTAGCTGCAGGACTGAGGGCAGCTGTGATGGTGCTGCCCATGGGCAAGACCCCTGAGAAGAGTTTGCCAAGGCA